GGTCGTACTAATTTGGGGATTATACTAGGCAAGGAATGAAGTCCAAATCTGCATCAGTGTTAATTCATCGTACTCAGAGGGTTAACATCGTCCTGAAGTGGATAAAATTGGCATCGTTATGAATACAAGTAAGTAAGATACGTTTATTCGTCTTAAGAATCGATTAAAACAGATTAAAGTCAGTTTGAAGATGTGATGACAGTCGGCAGAGGAGAAGCTTACCTCAATGTGGGGTCAGAATATAAACAATGACGATCAATTTCACGTTGGTGGACTCAGGTCAATGAATTCTTTGGCCATTACTCAAGATACCGTTTCTGAGGGAGGTCTGATGGTGGTGGTGGTGGGGGTGGGGGATGGTGGAGATGGTGGTGATGGTGAGGAATGATGGTGAAAATGGTAGTGAAAATATTGGTGGTAGGGGATCACTTAAAGACATCTTAGAGGGCATATGAAAGTGAATTGAAGATACGTACATTGTGTGGCGTCAGTTGATGGTAATGGCGTCAATTGAAGGTAATGGCGTCAGTTGAAGGTAATGGCGTCAGTTGAAGGTAATGGCGTCAGTTGAAGGTAATGGCGTCAGTTGAAGGTAATGAAGGTAATTTATAAACAAAACGTGGACTGGAGAAGACCATTCCACCTGTCTAACTCCCGTGATGATGAACCAGCCGGGGGAAGTAATAGGCACGAACCAACACAAATTAAAACGCCGCTACGACCCCTCCTAAAATGTTGGGAAATTCTCTTGCTTAAAAACATAAAACAAAAACAAAATAAAAAAACACCACCCAAAAAACAACAACAACAACAACAACAACACCACCAACAACAACAACAATAACCCGAAATCTACAAACACAGACAAAAAATAAAAACCATTAAACCTATGGAGGGCCCTGGGTACAGTGTTTGTCATGCTTCTCTTGTTAATTCTTCCTCGTTAAACCAAAAGACACAAAATTACGTCCAAAATAATATACTTAAATCACACGTCCAGATATTACTTGAACTGGATACCAATTGTCTTCCCACTTCTCCCTCCACCCCCTCGCCCTCCCCCTCTCTCCCTCCCCCCTCGCCCCCTCCCCCTCCTCCCTCCCCCTCACAGTAACACTCCACCTTACGTAAGTCGAGGCAACAGGTGAGGCTACAGGTGCTGGTCCTTCCTCAATACCATATTTGCATAGTGTCGTTGGTGACTTGTCAAACGGGCTACCAAGGTCCCTATAGGCTTATTCACCTAACCTAACCTAATCACACGTCAATCGGGACTCACTTTAATTGGTTCCCGTCTTAATGGAGATCAGTGTCAATGGGTCGTGGTTCTATTTTTTTTAAGGTTAGGTTAGGTTAGTGTTAGTGATTAAGACCATTATTAATTTTAAACTTTTTCCACGAGTGCTAACAATTATAGTCTGTAATTGCGTTAACATGAACAACATTTAATCCAATAACACACACACACACACACACACACACACACACACACACACACACACAACACACACACACACACACACACACACACACACACACACACACACACACACACACACACACACACACACACATGGATTTAAAGATTTCTGTGTGGTTTTCCTCATAAACTAGTAATTATTTCCTCCTATCGCCTTAAATCAGTATGGGAAATTTCTCCTCGAGGTTTGGGATGAATTCTGCGAGGCTTATCTCTGAGATCGACATTTATTTCCAGAGATAAATGTAAATCCGGTGAGAAATGGGAGAGAGGAGACACACACACACACACACACACACACACACACACACACACACACACACACACACACACACACACACACACACACACACACACACAACAGGTGGGTTGATTAATCTATATTACCGTCAGTATCTCGTTGTACCTTAAGATAAACAAGAGTTGGCAGACGACCAAGTTACACGACCCTGAGAGAGAGAGAGAGAGAGAGACCACGTAACAAGTTAATCAAGGTCCTCAGGTATAGCCAGGTGTGAGGTGGTTACATAACTGGGTCTTAGTCATTAATTAGATTCAAGGTAGTCGAAGTCTGTTTGACCAGGTAACTAAGATCTTCAGGTTACGACTTGGGGCAGGGCAGTCAAGGGCCTTCACAAACAGTCTTAAGTGTCTGCCTTTCGGGGTAAAACGGAGCATTTGGGTACAGCATGGGGCAAGGTCTTTGGGTAGAACTAGGTACTAGGTACTCACGTGTTTTGGGGTATAACCAAGTACAAGGTGACTCAGGTTTTGGATTGTAACATACAGGACGACAAGGATAAGTACAAGGACAAGTACAAGGACAAGTAAACAAGTACAAGGACAAGTACAAGGACAAGTAAGGACAAGTACAAGGATAAGTACAAGGACAAGTACAAGGACAAGTACAAAGAAAGGACAAGTACAAGGATAAGTACACAAGTACAAGGATAAGTACAAGGATAAGTACAAGGACAAGTACAAGGACAAGTACAAGGACAAGTACAAGGACAAGTACAAGGACAAGTACAAGGACAAGATAAAGAAAGGACAAGAAGATAAGTACAGGATAAGTACAAGGACAAGTACAAGGACAGACAAGTAGGACAAGTAAAGGACGCAAGGATAAGTACAGGATAAGTACAAGGACAAGTACAAGGACAAGTACAAGGATAAGTACAAGACAAGGACAAGTACAAGGACAAGATAAGGACAAGTACAAGGACAAGTACAAGAAAAAGGATAAGTACAAGGACAAGTACAAGGACAAGGACAAGTACAAGGACAAGAAAGACGTACAAGGATAAGTACAGACAAGTACAAGGACAAGGACAAGTACAAGGACAAGTACAAGGACAAGTACAAGGACAAGTACAAGGATAAGTACAAGGACAAGTACAAGGACAAGTAAGGACAAGTACAGACAAGTACAAGGACAAGTACAAGGACAAGTACAACAAGGACAAGGACAAGTAAACAAGCAAGGATAAGTACAAGGACAAGTACAAGGAAAGGACAAGTACAAGGACAAGTACAAGGACAAGTCACAAGGACAAGGACAGACAAGACAAGGACAAGTACAAGGATAAGTCGACAAGTACAAGGAAAGACAGAAGTAGGACAAGGACAAGGATAAGTACAAGGATGAGACAAGGACAAGTACAAGGACAGGACAAGTACAAGGATAAGTACAAGGATAAGTACAAGGACAAGTACAAGGACAAGGACAAGGACAAGTACAAGGACAAGTACAAGGATAAGTACAAGGACAAGTACAAGGACAAGTACAAGGACAAGTACAAGGACAAGGACAAGGACAAGTACAAGGATAAGTACAAGGACAAGTACAGACAAGTACAAGGACAAGTACAAGGACAAGTAAAAAAGTACAAGGATAAGTACAAGGACAAGTACAAGGACAAGTACAAGGATAAGTACAAGGACAAGTACAAGGACACGTACAAGACAGCTTAGGTTTTTGTTTTGATTCCAGCTAATCAACATAAACTTTGACATCTAATTAAATCATGGAAAAAAAAGTGTTTAGTTTAACATATAAAGTATCCAAATGTGATTTTATATGACACGATAAACTACACAAACTGTTTTTCAATTATTTTTTCTCCCAATTTTGAGTATCTAATTGAACACATCTTAGGGAAGCTCGGTAATTCATGTGTGTGTGTGTGTGTGTGTGTGTGTGTGTGTGTGTGTGTGTGTGTGTTACGACTCAATACACTGATAGTTTGGCTGTAAAACTAGAAATATATAATAGAAGCTCGTAAAAAAAAACCCGGAATTACGTCAAACGGGGGAAAAATGTGAAAGGCGGTGGTAGTAATGGAATATACCCGGAAGAAGAGAGAGTAAGTGGTTCGGAAGTGATAAAAAAGAGAGAGAGAGAGAGAGAGAGAGAGAGTATCTAGTGAGGTAGGATCGCCCACAAGC